TTATAAAACAGTAGCTGATAAGTAAGTCTCCCAAAAAAAGCAAGAAGAGTCCTCAAGAACACCATAAACAAAATCGCTCCCTGACAGTCACACCTCCCTGCGGTCTCTGTGCAACCCCTGGCTCACAAATCCTTTATCACATCTCCCAGTAGTGGATATCATTAAATGCAATGAAAAGAATACGAAAAACAACTAAAACACGGAAGAAGACGGACGATCAGAAAACGAAACTTTCAAACTCGGCGTCCGAATTTAGGGTTACGGTAGCGTGCATCTTTTAGTGTAGTGTAGTGCGTCGGGCTCTCGCTAGGAACCCTCCAATCACGAATTGCTGATCAATTTCATAGCCATCAACGTACAAATAGTTACGTTCACGACGGATCTGTAAATGCCTCTGCAAATGAAATCATCTGAGGTATATCAGATTCTTTTTGCAGACACGTATCTTAACATGTATCTGCAGTAGTTTTCGTTGTTTTTCGCTCCAAATCTAGATAAAACAAGCCTCACCAATTATTTTAACTTCAGTTCGGCTGCTATGTCACCTGTTCATGCTGCTTTTTCTATGTTTTCTCTTCTTTCACAGTCGCGCTTTCGCAAGTGCTTGTTTTCTTCGAGATTCTAAAGCAGATAATTTGCCAAACTGCTTCCCGTAGGCCACATGATTTACTGGGACAGGCGGTCTTCAATGCTCGGATGAAAAGAGTGTGAGAGACCTAAGTGGCGCCTTTGGGTTGTGTCGACAGAAATTAAGACGGTAAGGTGAGTTTGAGTGTGAGCCATGGAGCGGAGCGTTCTTGACAAAATTCTCAGATTGCATGTTTCTTGCGGAAAAACTTACTGTCAGCGTGCATGCCATATGGAGCGCGCGAGAACTGGAGAGGACGCAAGTACAAGTGAGGGTGAGAATAGAGGAAAAAAAGTGACAGAGACAACACAAGTAAGTGGTCGTTGCGGTGCATGAGAGAGAGCAGTGCGAGTATAAGGGAGGTCCGGACGAATTGTTGAGACTAGGTGCCCAAAACATTCTTCGTATAATGCTCTGTTTTGGCGCAAGCGCATCATTGTCGAATACTAAAGTTGGAATTTCTATTTCCTCATCGCTAATTCCATTGAACTTGCAGTAGGATAATATGGACAAATTCTGAGCTTTATTGCGGTGATTCAACCTCCGGCCAACACGCAATACTCAAGAATAAACGGCTTACAACGAACTGCTAAAGAATCAATTACTGGACCTTAGTCACCCTTCTCCCCAAAACCTATATTCATATTTACAGATGCGTCACCCTTCATCGACGCTGAGTCTCGTTGCAGCCAAATTTTCTGGTAATGTTTCTGCAGGGTTGCTTCCCTTCCATGAGTTGATCGTCCTGGAAGCTTCCTACTTATGAAAAAACAGAGTGCCGTCTTAGTCGTTTGGGCAACAATTTACCTCAACATCGGAGATCGCACTGGTCCTTTTTCATACCGATTAGCACCTACAGTTTTCCATGACCTCGTCTGTAACGCGAAGCTGTTCTACTTCAGAAGTCCCGAGAAAGTCATTGTCAAGCTTACCATCGTATTCTTCGTTTGTTTTTTCCAGCATCTCCTCGTAAACTTGCCTCGGATCTCCTTCAAAGTATAGTTGATCGGCTTTCATCTTGTACTTTCTGCAAGAGAGGAAAAGGCAACATGCAAATAAGCGATACATCTACATATATACACATATATATACAATGTAAAAATTTATTGTATTAATTGTTTCACAATCTCGTATGCAATCCTCCTGGCCTTGTCGTCAGCTGTTCCAGCTGGGTCACACAGATGTCATATTGCGACTGGATCGTTAAGAAAGTCCACGGGCTTGGACAGAGAAGCTATTAGGTGAGAAAGATAAAAGGAGGATTTGCTTGGAAGACTTCAGAAGTAGTGAATCCAGTCTTATCGTTCTCCATTAGTTCATCGTCTTACACTGCAGTTGTATACATCGGAGTTTCGATTCCTAGGAGAACACGTACGATGCTCCGGAATCTGGAAATCAGTAAACCAATACTTCCCTTCTCCTAATCCCTTCTGCTAATCTTACTTACCTCCCTTTTCGCAGCGAACGACATGGTTATGTGAGAATGTATAACGAATGGTTGAGACGAAATTTCAAGCATTGATTTAACTTGTCAGAACGTACTTAGACACTCACACGACACGACATGTTAATGCGCGTCAACAACGAGTAAATCTCGCAATTGACAAACGCCTGTCGCGTTGGAACTCATTTGCCGGTGCACTCCAAGAAGGGTACTTTTTTCACAGAACCATAACATTCTTGAAAGTAGTCCTTAGAGGAAAAGAAGAACGCAGTCTTGAAGAGCTGTATTAGAACCTACTGAAAGTATCATAAGGGACCTCAAGGTTGTCTGATTTCGAGAAACATACATTGCGTATTCGTTGGTGGTGATGCCTGTCTTTTCGCTTTGAAGGATAGTACCTCTCTTACAACGCAATCTTGCGAACATTAAAACAGTTTAAAAAGACGAAAACTTTCTCTTTCCAAAGACCACTCAAATGCTCTGGGATTTACGGGTGAGTACGTTGGAGATCTTTTAGGCAAAACTTTGAGCGGCGAGAAAAAACCCCTTTGCTGTGTACCATTTCGAGTAGGCGCATTCGAGTACACAGGAATCTCCCAGCATCCGTAGTGGTTAGTTTAGCGCCCTCTGGCTTCATCTCTGGATGCGCCATGCATAGGTTCATATGCTGCAGTGGTGGGATGGTGCCACTTATAGTAAGGTCTGCCCATGCGAGCAGATGTATTCAAGGTTAGGGTCTAAAAAGATCAATGACCCACCTGCGCACTTGTTTAAAATGTACTGTTTAGTGATCTACGTATCTAAGAACTCACGTCAACTTGGTAGTACTGTTAGTTGATCATTTTTTTCTACTCCGAGTTCTCTGTAAAGCATGTTTTGCTACCACAGGGCTTAGCAATGCTGACTGCGCTGTCCGGTACCAAGTGTCCCTCTTACTGCACCCCCCCAACCAGGGCACGCCATCGCGTTGTGATCATTTCCCGCTAAATACGACCCTCCCCAAAATAAGGGTCTTAATACGACCCCCCCCTGTCACGAGGGTACAAATGAAAAGAAGCGCAAAAGGGACGAAGAAAATGACAATAAAGAGAACTGGGCGCTATTGAACTATTCCTACGCCAAAAACTCAAAAAAATTTGTGCTGAAACTTTGTCTATAGATGTTATTCGATGTCCTGATCACGAGTGTGACATCATTTTCCATACCAGCGCTATTTGGCACTCTGCTGAGGCTGAAACTGAGAAAAAGGGAAGATTTCCCTCAGGCCAGGCTCAGTCTTAGCAAAGCGCATTGACCATAGTTCTAACGTTAGAGCTGGCGTCAAGAATATCATATTCGTGAACAGGATGTCAAATAACCCCTGTATCGATTTCGGTGATTTAGGGTATTTGGCGCCTGTGGCGCGGCGATAAAATACCCTGAATCACCGGAATGAAACGTTTTGGACGAAGCGGGTGTGATATTCGTGTTCAGCAGCAGGCGGCAGGGCCGCAAGTACCGACTGTAACAGCATTTCCATCCAAGTCTGCCCTCTAGAAAAAAGTTGGTAAAAATCAGCCTGATTTCGGCAGACTGGGTAGGATTGCTCGATAGTGTAAACACTACAACAATACATCCTAGAAAACTGCTAAAAAAACAAAAAAGAAACCTAAAATATCAAACAAACGACAAAAAACTCACCAGAAGTACTACGAAGAATTATGGGTAAGCTTTTGAATTAGTTGTTCGCGGTCGCGCTCTATTAGCGCGCCGGCCGCAGCCCGCCTAATCTACAAGCGTATTGGTGCGCGCTATTTTACGGCCTGGAGCCAATTTCAAGCCAAACACGTGAAAAGTACCCCTCATTTGAACACCCATAACTTCGTTGAAAGTGAAGCTATCGGAGAGGGGTAAGTTGGAGAATGATGGAGCCAGTAGGCTCTTATTACCTCAGTTTGAGCGATTTCAAAGACGATTCTTTTCTAGAGAAATTTCCCCGTTGTGATCCTTGCGTGATCATGGGGGGCCAACCACAAGTCGCTACGCTTCGGACATCCATGGCAAGCTTCACACACGGCTTCGTCACGGCCTTCCGTAAGAAAAAGATTGTGCCGGAAGCATGAAGCTTTCCACTTTCCAGTAAAACTTTCACAGAAAGATCACTGCCCCACGACACGAAAAATCAACCCTCCGACGCCATGAAACCTCGGGTTGGTTCAAAGACTTGTATATGCTTCTAAAACGCATGTTTTCGCCAAGGATATCAGGAAATAGTTCATTGGGCACCAATTGGCATCACTTCTGCAATGGCTTTCACGCAGAGCTATTGGGAAGGTGCAACTTCTAGAAAGGGCTTCCTCCGTGCAAGTAGGTGTGCTTCTGCAATAGAAAGGTGCGGAAGTGTACTTTCATCTGTTTAGTAGTTCATGGTGTATATTTATTGGCGCGGAGGTGGTACAGTGTCCCCACTTGTGCGCTGGCAGGTTGCTTCTGTCTTGTGTGGGTCTCTTCAGAGGTTCTTCACATGGATAAGTCTTTCATCATTGAAGCTGAACGACATCTGGGTATCGCTGCACCCTCACTTCAGAAAGGTCCCCGCGCTTACGACCCCCCTCCCTCGAGGTCAAATACCCCCTGTTGTGATGATCACAACGATGGCGTGCCCTGCCCCCAACCTCGCGATCGACCCTCCCCCACCCCTAGTGGGAAGTTCCCCAATGATGGTGTGATCTGTATCAAACGACTCATCTCTATCATGGATCTAAGGAAAAGCTGTCAAAGTGTTTATGGGTACAAGTAGAACAATGCTTCAGCAACAAAATAAAAAATTATCACATAACCATTTCCCGTTACATTTAGACCTACTGATGAGATAATAATACTAACAAAATTTTCTTTAATATAATTTTCTTCCGAAACGAGGATCTAAATACCGACTGGACCAAATCACTAATTCAGCGATGCCTTTTGATGTAATCTCCTTGCTACTGCTTGTTCATAGGTGTTTCGTATGAGCATGGCAACTGTCATTGGACCAACTCCGCCTGGCACAGGAGTAATGTAGCCAGCGACCTGAAGCTTGTTCAGTCACTGGAAAAGATGTTTTGAATTTGCGATCGCGTGAAAAAGTAACCTTTTTGGCTTCTTCGAACTCGACATCGCCGTAAAGCTTGTTTTTCTTTCCCGGTTCTGTTGCTTCCTCTACGTTTATTCCACAGTCGATCACAACTGCGCCCGGTTTAATCCAGTCACCTAAAATCGGTGATAAATTTCTCTGGCAGGTTGAAGGTAAATCTGAATACAAAGGCACGTTCTGCGTTCATCTGATGTGCGGACACCGTTTTTGATTAAGGTAGTCCTGTCCAGGCACACATAATGTATCACTTTCGCGGATCAAAAAAAGGATGACAACTACACCACCCGATTGCGACAAGGCAATGCCCCGCCTACTGCCCAATGCCGCACCCAACACTCATTTCTATCTGCTACCTTATGATGCGGCTCTTCCGCTACTAATTCTTTTCATTGCGAATGAGGAGAATGAGATGACGAGAGCAACGAGCTGATATCGTTACGACAAGAACAGGTGAGAACTAATTCAAGCACGCACTGACTTCGCTGTGGGATCGTACAAGCTTGGTTCGGCAAGGGGTCTTATCATGAACAGTCTCTGGAGTTTAATCTCCCTCATTCACTGTTGATTTGCACTCGCCCAGATACGCTTGACGCCGCGTCCCACGAAGGCTGCCCTCCATACTTGCGGGCCATCTCCATGCAGCGATATGGAAATGTAGTGATGAAGCATGCTAGGTACGCCAGCGCTACCACGGTCTGGCAGCGTCTCACAAGCCATACCTAGGGAAGTATGATATTGATGCTAGCCTACTTGTCAATAGCCTACTCTTGAAGCCTCAATTTCGCGTCTCAATGCGAAAGTGGCTACTTATTGGAAGCTAATTACCCGTTTCTTCTCGCACATCAACAAGAACCGCCTAGAGGCTCCTGCGAGGTTGCTTTCGAGAGCGACATTCAAGAAAATTCTAATCACCCCACGCAACTGCCTTTGGAGTAGGTATGGATTTTGCGCCGCACATAATCGATATCGAACTTTATGACTGCTTGCAGGATGACAAGTGCTAATACCTGCGAACAAAATTTAAGACATTTCCGATACAGAGGCTAATTGCATACCTTTCACGAAATGCTTCTTTCCAATGGCCACTACAAGAATGTCTGCTTTCAAGCACTGCTCCTTTATATTTCGCGTTTTCGAATGGCAAATGGTGACAGTTCCGTGATGCCACAAAAACAAGGCAGCCGCTGGTGCACCAACGATTTTCGACCGCCCCAAAACGACAACGTTCTTTCCACTGACGTAGTTATCGTCTCCTGGAAAAGTAGAACAGATGATCGAGAAGGGACAATAAGAGATCCTTCAGACTGAGCAGCCTTAGCTGAGAATGCGCTACGCAACGCAAGTCATTGGGGCTTCAGATTGATTCACTCTTCCGCTTAGTTCTGTTTTGGTATGATGTAGGAGAATGCTCTATTATTTCATTTTTATTTCTCTGCTCAACTTATTGTGAGTGGAAGGCAGCCCTGCCCTACGAAGCTCTTTTCGGTGACTAACTGCGAACCAGTTGCCTTCTAAGCACGTTAGTCAACAAACAGTGAAACAAATGCCGTGGAATTGCACAGAAGATTTACTGACCTGTCGCTTTTTGAACAAGGTATAAACATCCGTAAGGAGTGCATGGGAAAATTGTTCGGTTCAATTCACCACGCATGAGACGTCCAGCGTTCTCCCTCGTTAACCCATCAACATCCTTAAGATTTATCTATACAGAAAGGTTAAATAAATAAAAAGGTGAAATATACGATAAAGTTTGATCCATGTCAGCATGTGTATCAGCATATGAGTGCTGTAAAGCTATTGCACAAAATTTCATTGAGCTGAGAAGGCAAGAGTGGGCCCCGATAGCGTAATGGGTAACGCAAGCGCCCGGTAAGCGGGATGCGGGTTCCAGTCCTGTCCCAAGTGTGACTTTTGCCAATATTTCAACATTCTGTGATAAAGTTTAATCCCCCTCAAAGCAAGAGACTTTTGGAGGCACTACTGGAGCCATAGTCTACCATACTGCTAGAAGAAACTACTAAAAAATAAACCGTGAAGTTTCCTCATGGTAACATGTGGAACGCCGCTTATTTTCCACCTTTTTCTAATGCGGAATCCCAATGGTTTCTCTGCCCACGTGACCTGAGCAGTGTGTTGTGAAACTTTGCCGTTCATGTCATTACCGCCGCTCCAAAGACAATTTCTATCCCCGAATATGGTCCTCTCTATAGGCGTAAATGGCTCCAGCTGAAGTAGCATGCCACCTTCTCGCTCAAAACTACACTGCCACTGGGCTGGAGTGAAGTGATACTCGGGTGCCATCTTCATACTCCGCCTGCTCTGTCCTCATGGTGCAGCACTTGCGTCGATACGAAGGTCCTGCAGCGCTAGAGAACAACTAGAAGTGAGAGGGACAAGTAACGCCTTCGGCTATGATTAGTAGCTGGCTGAGGCGTATAGATGGCCGTGCAGCAGCGCAAGTATGGAGAAGGCAGACAGGCATCACTACCTTCTAGCCTTTTCCCTTCCACTTTTGACCGGAGAAAGTGGCACGTTGGCGCAGTTGCGGACCTATTGACCACACACTTGGTTGGGATCACCATTCGCAGAAGCGAGCGTACAGTTTGCCTTTCAAGGGCGAATCGCGATAACCTCGGCACTCAAACTTACCCGGCACCTAGCATCCCGTTACCTCGAAGTTCCCAGAGAGCTCGCCCCTTTGGGAACACCAGTAGCGAAAAACATCTACTTTCTTTCCAATGTCCCTACACTCTTCGGATCAATGGAGACATCTCAGCAAGCCAAATACGATATTTTCCCCATAGCAACTCATTTACGATCCTTTGCTGAGGATTCCTCAATCAAGCGGCGTTCATCTTATCCCTCTAAGAAGAGTCTGTAAGAGATGTGATTGCAGCGAGCCTCTGACAAATTCACAGATTCAGTGTTGGACCAAAATGAGCTGGACACTAGTAATCTTACAGGAAAGGTCAACAGGTCAGCCCGGCCATTTCCAATGAGGTGCACACCGTTGTACGAGTCTTGGGACGGTAAACTCGAATCTGCCTTCAGAATTTGCGGAACGACTCTCTGAACGGAGTTATGGAGGGTTTTGTACCCGCGTGGTTGTTTCACATGCTATCGCGAGGAAACGTGGAAGCGTCTTTATATACAAGGATGTAAGTCAAACTGCAACGTGGCAGTAGAGCGCAACGGATAGCGAGCGGGTTTACTAGGCGAGACGTCGTAGGATCGGTTCTCGGCAGGGTGCCCTTTTTTGCTTTTGTCCAAGAACATGGCCGACAAAGCTTCTAACATCTCTGCTCGCCTGCACTATCCTGTAAGGAAACTGCGACCAGTTTTTTTTTTCGAAAAGTTTGAGACCTATTTATGGCCTAAAACGCTGCTCGTGCTTCCCCCCCCCCCCCCCCCCCCGTAGCACATGTCAGATGGGTTTTTGCAACGTAACACCATCAGATTCACGTTTAGCGGCGGTTAAATTATCCCTGGGGACAAGTTTCTAGCCGAATCTGATATTTCGACCTAACTTGGAAAATGTGAGTTATTCCATGGGTAATTAGCAGCAGTTTGGAGCTCACCTACCATCGATGACTGGCCTCGGAATGAGATTTCCTCCCGATAGTCAAGAAAATGATGCAGACGCACGAATAAATAAGCCAGGTATTGTTCTTTGCGAAAATATAGGACTGAAGAGTTATTTCAGCTCGCAGACCAGTCATCATCAGTATGCTAGTCATAGTATCGCTGTTAGCTATCAGTTAGCCATGACTATCCCCATACCTCATTTTCTCGAAGTTGAGTCAAAACCTCAGATTTCGCTAAGGTGACGTCTCTGGGGGTTATTTGACCCCCTGAACACGAATATGATAGCTATTCTGCGCGAAGAGCGCTGTGAGTCGCGCTACAGGTGCCAACGCTTCGGCGCCAGCACGCCTGGAAGAAGAAAAACAGTAAGAAAAACATCCATAACTCCGCTCAGAGAATCGTTCCGCAAATTTTAAAAATAGTTTTGAGTTCACCGTCTCAAGGCGAGTACAATGATGTGCATCTTATTGCATATGGCCGGGCTGACCTGTTGACCTTTCCTGGTTAGCTAAACAGCGCTGAAAAGTAACTCTTACTTTCAAGGGATGTATCTTGTCGATAACCGCGTCAGCGTCGATAGCGTTCTTACAGTCGAGTGGCAGCTGAATACTATAAAATAGAAACAATTTCAAAGCATCGACAATTTGCAGAAATCTGAGTTCAAACGTGTGCCAAAGCATACATATTGGTGAGGCAACATTCATACTTCATGTCTCAGCGATTCGGGTCTCATACAATAGTGGCAAAGAGCGCTCCATCGCCAATAGTGGGCCGTCACAGCTGCTTATCCAATCGCATTCAGGATAGTACACAGTACTCTTTAATTTCGACCTCTGGACCGACCAAGCTGCGCCAGGTTGGAAAGCTGCTCCGCTTTCGCAAAGCTGCTTAACTCTCTTCCGCGCGGACCGTGCTCTCCTGACGACATCTAAGTAAGAACCGCATGTCCAAAGAGACAAGATGGCTTTGCGCGGTGAATAGATTTACGCTAGGAGCCCTATTTGGGAGACTCGCAAGATTATCGCTTAGTTTCTCTCAGTTTCGAGTTGACCAAAAGGTGGCGGAGGTTTGTCTCATATTTGTACCAACATATAGACAATGGGCGGGCAAAGAGGTAGAAGGGGCAATGTTGGGCATTACCACAGCGAAAGACCTCTGGCAAAAAAAACGTCATTAAGCAGCAAATCCCTAGTTCCTAGTATGAGATGTGCCATAAGACGTGAGGATGGTGTGCGCTCACATTTATGTGTTTTTCTCGTCTCGTTGCCCTAGGCCCGCATCTTCCCGTCGCACTTCACTTTTTTCTCGCGGTTTGCTTAAATAGTTACACAAATGATTTTTTTCTTTTTTTATCACTACACTGTATGCAGCCCGGCGCTTGCGATCTCGAAGCCCGTCGGTCGCCCGTACCCGTTCTGAATGAATTCTTTCTATCATTTCCAAAGCCCCCGTATAAATGCTTCCCCGGGGTGTTAGGTCGAGTGGGGATACAAAACAGCTGATCTCTGTTACTGCAATCGGTTTTAACCACTAACAAATTACCAGAATAGGCTCAAGACGTATTTCATGCTGGCGATTCATGTTCTGAGTGAAAACTGCGACTACGCCAGCGTGTAGTGCATCCGCGAAAATGTCTCCTGATTAATGGAGAAAGCTTTATTTTTTTTTGCTACGTCATCATGGTGTCAATGTGTCTTGAGGAGTGGGACACTGCAGCTGCCCTACAGCCCTGGATACGAGGGGGGGGGAGGCAATAAAAAAAAAGACACTTCTCTTCCTTGATTTTCGAGGCTCTATAAGTTACACTACATTGAATTCTGATCGGACCGAAGAGTAAAAATTACTAAAGTTAAAGAGCATCTCAAATACTTATCAAATGCCTCCGCCACAGCTTTCTGGACCACCGCACGAGAGATTCTGCGCTACTTCACCATGGTTTGCTGGGTTCAGCTCTAGATCTGTTATTTCCTTACTACTGTTAGACCACGCCTATTGAACTCGCCGAAACCAGCGTAGTTTTGATGGGAATTCAGTGTCAGGTTGACCCGGTGACCCGGACATGTTTGATATTCCATCTTCTTCCAGGAACCCTCGAACCACAACTTCCATCCCAAGTAGGCGAGAGTTTTCTCCTCAACGCCCTTCACTTTCATGTGGTGTGCGCTGCCAATCCTGTACCAGACAAGTTTCCAGAAGGTACGAGGCGCGTTTTGTGGGGAGGATATTCCTCTCGAGTTGCTCGATGTAACCGCCAGCGCTCACCTTCAGTCCGGGGTCTATGAAGAAAATATTGGTCTTTCCATTCCAGGTACTTCCGGTCCATACCATCAGCCCACCTTGGCGACTGTGATTGAAGATTCGAATGCTCCGACGACCCGCTAGCGACGTTGCAAAGCTGTTCTGATGTTGGGGGTCTTTCAGATCCAAGAGGTAGCACTGCCCGTCTCCCAGATAGCCGATAGCTATCTTGGGTGGCCCACACTAGAAGTTTCGCCAGCTTCTTAGAGGTGGACATTGAATAGATCTCTTTCTCCAGTCAGGCTGCGACTGCGAGTGACCTCTTCAATATAATTGAGTTGTACGGGAAGAGTGATGGGCTGAGCCCAGCTCCCTCTTATAAAGGAACCATTCTTGCGTATTCATCTGGTACTCGTATCCACGTCCTCTGTCTGGGCTGCGAAAATTCTGCTGATATGTAACACGGTCGAAGTGTCTTTTTTTATTGCCCCCCTGTATACGGTGTAGTTGGAAGTTTTGTCACGTAACAATGTCGAACACCTTGTTAGACTCCATTCCACTGCAGACAGTGACAGCGCATTCACTGCCATGAGTTCCTTAGCCAGATGATTTTTTTCGAGCCAAATGATTTTTCTGGGCAAATGATGCCACAAAGAGGGCACCGAATAAGTAAGCTTTCAAGGAAAGCTATAGCAATAAATTTTAGTGACAAAGGAGTCGCTTTTTAGGCCTAAAAGCCCAACTGCTGAACGAATTTGCGTGTGCGTCAACCGAGCGTTCCATCCGTCGTTGACTGTTATTCAGACCAACTTGGAAGAAAACACCGGCCTTTATTTCGTCTGGCTACGAAAGTCGTAATATAGGTCAGACGGCATTAAAAATGCGGCTATGTTTCTTAAAGGGGGTCATGAGGGTGCAACAAAACGAGAGCTGATCCCGCTAAAAGCGTCACCATGTATTCACGGTTATCAGAAAATCTGATCAGCAGCCGAGTTGTATTCAGAAGCGAAATTTTCTCCATTCGTTTCTATGTAGACCATCCAGCCATCAATGAAAACTTGAGACGCTGTTTCGGTAGGGTGGAGATGTTGGTGCAATAGTTCATGCAGGCTACACTGATTTCGCGCAAAGAGTCCAACAAAGCTGCGGAATATCACGAGCCTTGTTTCAATGGTTTATACGGTTCTTACATATTAGGTGGCATCCAGGGCTGGAAGATGTGAGGAACGAATGCAAACCAAGGACGAGGATTTCTTTCTATTTTTTTTCTAATTTTTCAAGCATAATTGCAAGGAAAAAAGCTGCTGGTGGATTATCCAATTAGTTAGACCTAAAACCCGTGAAAGATGGTGACCCTTTTGGGCATCCTTCCCTAGGCTTGGGCAAACCCCTCGCCTCTTGCTCGCAATCACAATTGCATGGTAATGTCTCACTTTAGTGGGATGGCACTAAATATGGGAACACTACAGTACAGTACAGGCAAAATTATTCATATAAATGAAAAAAGTTCGTAATCATACACTCTGTATCCCGCGGTAACACGGGTCGCAATTGCGGAAACAGGAGGAGCGCGTGGCGATGGTGACAAAAACTTGTGTTTCTGCTTAGTAGTACTCGATTTCTTCGCCAGGCTTCAATTCTTTGGGTGAGTGTCATGAGTTTGTGAATCCAATTGTGAATGTTACCTTTTTCGGAAGCTACCAGTTTTTTTTTCAGGACCGCTCCCACGCGCATAAATAACTTCGCAATTGCGACCTACATATCTCCTGCCTACAGAGTGTATGTGTTGGACAGTAGCAAAGATTAAACCGTAGATACCTGCACAATGATCCCGTCGACATTGTCATCCTTGTTGAGTTTATCGATTTCGATCTCGAGCTCTTCTTGGGTGATTGTGTCGGGCAATTTGATGAGTTTTCCCTCAGCTCCCACTTCAGCAGCTTTTTTAATCTTAGCCCCAATATAAACATTTGAATCAGGCCGGTTTCCAACCTGAATAGATCGCACTGATGATTACGGCCAGTGACTGGAAGGTGTTGCAAAAACAAACCTGAACGATGGCCAAAATCGCGTTGAAAGAGGGGTGTTCCTGTTTTTGTCGTTTGATTTTTTCAGCCACATCAGCCAGAAGATGTTTTGAGGTTTCTGTTCCACTTATCAATTGGGCCGTCATTCTTGAAATAAATAGAGAGCGTATCAGAGAAGAAATTGCGTTGACAAGGAGAATCAAAGGTGAGCGGAACGACAAATTATTCAAAGAGAAAGTGAGATGTCAAAAGTCTCAATCAGGATGGAAACAGGATGAACTTTCATAGTTGACTGTAACAACAACTGGTATGAGAAGTTGACAGGTCGCGTTCGGCAAGCGTTTTTTGACTAGTCAGCGAAATGGACGCACGAGAGATACGAGAATGGTGTGATCAATACGCATCTAGATCACCTTTCTCGATTAATAGTGAACGCAGATTTCCCGATAAGGCAACATTATGCGTGACATTCCTTGCTTTTAGCGTTAGTGAAGTTTTCGTGGACAGAGTAGTTGCAAAAGTTGATAAAGTCACAGTATACTTCAAAAGTACCCGCGGACCAAAGCGATTACCTACTGGATTCCAGAGCATGTCAAGCGAACACCTTAGAGAACAGCGGCCCGATAGTCAGACTTTTTCGTGAAAGTTCTGAATGAGCGGTATGATTCTCATAGTGTCCTTTAAGCAGTGAAAACCACTAGGCAAATCTAAGGCGTTTTAGGGACGAAAGAAGATTTTACTGGCGCCCGCTTGAACAACTCAGCGATCAGCGGAATCAGCGGTGATACAAGTGAAAGTTTTGTGATGGTACATGTCATATGACGATGGCACGGGTACGTAATACTGAGCAGCGTATAGAGATATCCGACAAAAAGGCAATGGACTCTGGAGCCTGGCAACCACGAGGACCCCAGAATGAGTGGGAAAGACTCCAATAACCTCACGGAAAGCAAGGCCACGGCAGGAATAGTTCGTAACGACGGAGCGACGAGGTCTAACAAGGGCAGCGGGTCTAGCAGCGATACAGGATCAACAGTAGGGAGGACGGCAAGGTCTTTCCTGGTCAGCTTTTTTGGAAAAAGTCATATATGTGACGTCCACTCATAATCGTTATGGTACTTGAGATGTATTACAGGCGTTACAATATTTACCTGATAAAACTCCGACCTGGTGTTTTGCATCTCCCCATTCGATTTGTGGTACTTTGCTCGTGATAGATGTACTATCTCACAAATATCCCCACCGAGCCCCAGAAACCCAGTGAATCGCCTTAATGGCATCGGTATCTCTCTCTCCATGCGCCATTCTCACTGCTCAAGACCTTACTTGAACTGATTCCTTGGAAACGCGGAAATATATGTTGGGAAGAACTGTAGCCTGAAGCATTGCAGACCATTGAAACGAAGTAATACTCCATCACATACAGCTCGATGTCCCGAGAAACGTAAATTTGCTATTCAGTTCTCGGACATCTCCGTAATTTAATGGGCAATCACTAATAGAAAAACCAGGGATTGAAACTTTGCTAGATCTCACTTTCGCTTACCAATGTGTGGGTGGAATTGGGCGTCACTGTGATTCTTTCACATTCTTAACGCTGACAATTAGACAACACGTAAACTTCCTAGTAGTGGGAAAGCGCACGGCACAGGATAGAAGAGTATCGTCTTGACTATCCTTTCCCCTCCCAAGTAAAATAATCATCAGCTAGCAAAAGGTGTCTCTTTTAAAATTCGGTACATGGTTCAACAGAAAAAAGCTACAGTCCTCACATTACAATCACCACAGAAGTTCAAAAGAAAACTCAGCAATTCGCTATTGTTGATGGCACCTGCTGAAATTTTGTGACTATGTACATACAACATAGTTTAAGGGCATGTTCTGAATCGATCGCTGTTGTAATACGTCTCAGTAGGGTACTGACCAG